TGAATTTGATTTCTATATACTTCATCTCTCCGTAACTTTTTCAACCTTAATATTACCTCTCTCTCTCTCTCTCTCTCTCTCTCTCTGGCAGTATAAGGAGATTTTTATTCAATGCTATGTATTCACATTCATTTTTCATCTGAAAACTTCAATCTAAGAATCAAACTCCATTCAATTCTTGTAGTTTTTATCTATTATTACTTTTCAATTATTCTTTCCAAACACAAAAATTAATATAGCCAAAAGCAACGCCATTAAATAAAAATGTGTGTAATATAATCATTCATATCAATTTTCTTCACAGTGACCCTGAAAGGCAATGTCTGAGAAGCACTTGAATACCTACAAGTTTATAACATCAATTTTAAGCTCTTGAGAAGTTTGACTTAACATCTAACTGAAACTGAAGTATAAAGCTACTCAAACAAATCATCTAAACTACCACCCCAACATACATACATACATACATACATACAGTTAAACATATCAACGGACATAACTATTTATGTATATTCTAATTCTATCCACATACCAAAAGTATGAGTAATCTTCTACATTTTCAGATATAACTACAGAGAGAAATTGAATGTCGATAAAAAGTCTACAACTCTTCAATAAGACCTTCAATGATAAAGGTTGAGACAGGCTCAACATTCCCGGTTGGACAAATGTTTAATTCACTCGAGATTGTTGTTGTTAGGTATCTCACTCATTTAACTTTTCTTAGTTCTTATAATCAGTCCATGATATTGTGAGAATGGCTTTTTCGGCACACTGATTTCGCTTTTTAATTTTCAATGAGCATACTGTTGTATGCGCTTATTTTACTCATCAGCAATCTTGTCACCATTTCGTGTCATTAGAACATTTAAAGATTATTGATCTTTATATATATTTCTGAGAGGATATACCATGAGTTAAAAATTTAAGTTCTTCAGAATGTGAATATTTGCAAGTCCGTAAGTTGTATTATAGAAAAAACAGAGCCCTGTCAATCAATGAAGTTGAATTTTCCATGAAGGTCAATATTTTCTGACTCTTTGATGTTCACCTTCCAGTCACAAACCTAGAAGAACTTTCTTGTGAAGATACTCGATTGCTCTTTTGACCTACGGTGGTGTTCCCGGAGACTTCCTAAATTTAGTCACACATTCTTTGGAAAAGGGTCAAAACGTATACTCCAATAGAATCGTAGCTTTCAGAGGTAATTCCTGAACTAACGTTCCTAGCTTATATTCTAATTTTAAGTAAGCATCCCCCTTCTCCGCATATTCTAATATGAGTTTACTGTATTTTTGAATTTTAGTATTCCGACTGCTTTCTTGATTATGCATGTATGTACCGCAACAGTGATCGTGAATTTGATTTCTATATACTTCATCTCTTCGTAACTTTTTCAACCTTAAAATTACTACAACTACACAGTAAATATATGCTTATTTTATTTATGTTTTATATAACATGTATTTCGTTGTAGTTGCCTCGAACCGTGAAAGCATGTATGATAGTTTTACGGCCCAAAGAATGCTATTCTCTGGGATTCCTCTCTATGAGCCATATCTCAAACAATGTTTGTCGAGACTGGTAAAAGATGACAAGGGATAAAGGATGTCAAGGGGAAGCTTAAAACAGGGAGGATATCAATCGGTGAAAGCTTTTACGTGATTCGCATTGTTGACCCTCCTTGAAGACTGAACAATGATATCATTCTAATTTCATTGT